GATCTCCAAACTAGACAGCTGTTAATCTCTCAAGGGTGGTTAGGAGACCCTGTGTGGGGTGAGAGGAAAGCCTGGGCCAAGGTGGGGAGAGGGGGGAGGCAATTCAGTGAGTTCAGGCTGGGAAGCTCTATGGGGCTGGGGCCTCCCTGGGAGATCTGGAGGCTGGAACAGGAGCAGGCCAAGGGCAAAGGGTTTTATGTTGAATATGTGGCTCCTGCAAATCGGCAGAGCAGTGGGGCTGTGGTGGGACAGAGGCTGGGTCAAGGCTCTGCCATTTACTGATGTGCAATCCTAGGCAGGTCTATTCTTCACTCCGAGCCTGTTTCCTCTTCTGTAAAATGGGGTTATAACAGCTGTGGCTTCACTTCTTTCTCCTTCTCCCCCTCCTCCCCCTCTTCCTCCTCTCCACCTCTTCCTCCTCTTCCTCCTCCTCCTCTTCCCTCTCTCTCTCTCTCTCTCTCTCTCTCATAGTATAGAAGCACCTGTACCCGGGTGTTTACATAGTCAAGTCCTCAGTAAAAGGTAGTTATAATTAGGATTAGGACTGTGATAGAATCAATAACTCTAGAATCTGTACAAGGCCAATATGGAGCAGTGCAGCTGAGTTGGGTTTTGGAGCTCAGACCGGTCCCAGGTTTGAACTGAGCCCCACGACTCATTAGCTGGATGATCTTGAAACAAGTTGTTGTTCCTCCCCGAGCCTCAGTTTCCTCCTCTGGCAAATGGACTCAGTAGTATTTCCCATCACACGGGGTTGCTATGTGGATGTGAAGGGAGATTCCATGTAGGTTGCTCAACACAGGAAAGAGGAGTGTTCTCTGCTTGTCCTGTGCTGACCGGTGGCCTTAGTCCTAGGGATGCGGGGTCTGGACAGGACCGGGGACACTGGAGCAGAGAATTGCCGAAGGGGCAGTGGACAGAGGTAGAAGAGAACGAAGGAGGGGTATGTGTAGGAAAACTGGAGGGAGGATTTCCAGGAGGAGGGTGGTCAGCTGGATCTGCTCTGGAGGCTTGACAGACCCCCCTCCCCCACGTCTGGGTGAGAGAAAGCCTTGATGGAAGCCAGAGGGCAGAGGGAAGGCACTGCCCCAAAGCAGGTAGGAAGGAGGGGCCAGAGTCCTGCTGGTCCAGCCAGGGAAGGAGGGCAAGAAGAGAACTGGACTCCAGAGTCCAGGCTGCCCATTATGGGACTACAAGTGGGCATGCTCCCTGGGGCAGAGAGCCCTGGGTTCAAATCCTGCCTCACCAACCAGCTGTGAAAAACCTTGGACACATCTCAGCGTCTCTGAGCCTCCATTTCCACATCTGTAAAATGGGGATAGTAATATCAACTATGTTTTAGGGTGGTTGTGGGGATCATTTGAGATACATAAAGCACTCAGTCAATGCCTGCTACCAAATAAAAACAAGGATAACATGACACAGCCAGCATTTGCCAAATGCTTACGAAGTGCCGGCGCCCTGCTAAATACTTTATGCCCATGACTCCATGGGACTGTTCAACCATTACAATTGTCATTATAATCCTCATCTAAGTGACATGCCTGAGGTCACAGAGCTGGTAAGCACCAGAGCAGGGACTTGAGCCTGTGCAGCAGAGAAGTGTTGTGTCCTCGGCTCCTTAAATCACCCAGTCTCTCTTTTTTTAATTACTTTTTTATTTTATTGATTTAGAAAGGAAGGGAGAAGGAGAGAGAGATAGAAACATCAACGATGAGAGAGAATCATTGATTGGCTGCCTCCTGCACACCCCCTACTGGGGATTGAGCCTGCAACCTGGGCATGTGCCCTTGACCGCAATCGAACCTGGGACCCTTCAGTCCGCAGGCCAACGCTCTGTCCACTGAGCCAAACCAGCTAGGGAAAATCACCCAGTCTCTTGACAGCAAGGCTTAGATGCTGGGGCCCCTCGTGGTAATGCATGGGCTTGGACAGTGACTCTTCCCAGGATGGGCGGCAGGCATGAGCCTGTCCGGCAGAGTGTGCTGACAGTAGGACATGCTGCTTAGGCACAAATAGGATCTATTGGTGGGGCTGACCCTCAGGGTTACCGAGGTATTCTTTGGTTAAGGGAAGGCCAGGGAGTGGCGTAGAGCCCCACAGCCAG